AATTATGTAATTTCAATTTATATTTTATATTGATAGGGACCCGAATTGAAGGGTTGAAACGTATATTTTATTTGTTTTGTTACATTCACACGAAAAATAAAGAATTTTTGTGCATCCGAATAGTTGATGTAGTCTCTGATGGACTTTTTTACACTTTTCACTGATAGATTCTTTCGAACCTCATTATATATATTTGTTTATATAAAATGTATTATACAAGACGTTCCTCCATACACAGTGCTTAAACAGCGATTTTAGCACATAAAAAGTCAAAAATGTCTAATAAACGTGTACCTGATTCTGAGCGGTTTCAGAGTTACAGGATATTGAAGTAAGAAAACATGAATAGAAGTAAATGCTATTTAATGTCTTTTATTCTAATGTTTTAATTATTGAATCTTATTCTCATAAACTAGAACCTTTCATTCATTCTCAAAATGAGATTCAGAATTCAGAACAATTATGATAAATAATACTTATTGCTACCGATATTATTATCATAAAACTTCAAATATTTTTCTAAAAGTCCGAAATAATTTATTAATTTGTGCTAGAAAGTATGTCGATGTTAATAGAGAAGAATTTTTTAGCATTAAATAGAATAATAAATATTAAACAACATATACTACGTATATAAAATGTTTTTTTTACTTTAATATTCGCATAACTCCGAAACGTTCGAAATCAGACATGATTATTAGACATTTATGACTTGTTTTCATGTACTGAAGTCGCTGTAGCAGTTTTTGCACTATATAGACATGTTATATAATACAGAGTGTTTCCTATAATTTGATCATTTAAAATATCTCCGTTTTGATGATACGAGAAAATATCACAGAGCCCAGTGAGAAATGATAATGGAATTGACATCGAATTGATGTCGATTTTTTGACATCGAAAGCATTAAATCGACATTGAATCGATGTCAATTCGATATCGATTTCATTGCCATTTCTTATTGGGGAGAATCTTATTCGATTCAAAGGGGCACATATCATGATGAGCAAAACATTTTTCTCAACATTATATTGTTTGAGACTTTACTTTTACCTTTTAAAATGGAATTATATGATTTTTTTTACACAATATGATTATTTACTCTAATTATTTTGAAGTATTAAATTATAATATAAAATATTTCATAAACTATAAATGATTTCTTTATATCACTACCTTATTTTCCTTCACTACAATACTTTTATATGCAAAATAATTAGAGGAATTGTGCAAAAATCATAATTCCATTTTAAAAAGGTGACTTTGATCTAAAAAAATGATCTTGAGAAAAATTTCTCATCATAATATGCATCTTTGAATCGAATAAGTGGTATTTTCTCCTCATAAATAATAGATATATTTTAAATAATCAAGTTACAGAAAACACCTCTTGTATATATAAAATAGATAATTTGATAAATATTCATATATGACAGAATGTAAATGTTATTTTTCTACCTTTATTTGTTCCGGTTCATATATTGTAATGATTAACTTTGGGCCTATCCATATTCGGAATGGAGATGGATAAGTTTCAGTGAACTTAATGCAAACATTTAAAAAATCTGAAAAGTTTTGTTGCATATATATAGTTGTGAGATTATTCGCAAAAGAAGTCTCCATATGGAGCCGATTACTCTTCAGATTTTGTTCAAACACATAAAAATCTATTTCTTGAGGTCAATTATATTTAATTAAAGTGATTTTAATAGCTTGAACGGAGTGATGGTGTTACCATAGGAATCTCTATAATATTATTTTAAATAATCGGGAACGTTTTATTATTGTAAGAATTATCGAAATCAGGTGATTTTAATTTAAACGGACGTATTTGACACCTGTTATCTTGTAACTGGTCAGCCCTATATTTATCACCAATACTCTTATGGTTTTAATCTTTTCGGCGTATTTTATAGACATATGTATTATCTGGGAAGCTTCTCTACTCATATTTAGCATTACCGAAGATCAATGACATGGACGATTTCTGATCCCTTTTAGAGTGTTTGATTCACATGAGTCCCCTCGCCTCTCACGTTTAGAGTGCTTCATTCACGTTAGTCCCCTCGCCTCTCACGTTTAATCACGTTTAATCTTCGAGGAGACGAAATAAAAGGGATCAGACATCCACGTCATTGATCCTGGGTAATGCTAAATACGGGTAGAGAAGCTTAAAAAATAATACGTATGTCTATAAAATACGCCAAAAAGATTAAAACCATAAGAATGTTGGACTGATGGTAAATGTAGGACTGATTAGTTACAAGATAAAATAACAGGTGTCAAATACGTCCGTTTAAGCTAAAGTCACCTGATTTCGATAATTCTTACAGTAATAAAACGTTTCCGATTATTTAAAATAAAATTGGTATAGACCGAAAACCGGTCTTATAGAGACTTCTGTGGCAACACCATCGTTCTGTTTAAGCTAAAATCATTATAATTGAATATAAATACCTCAAGAAATAGATTTTTATGTGTTTGAACAAAATCTGGAAGGTGCCAAAATCGACCTTTATAGAGACTCCTCCTTTATTATATTGTTTAAATTTATTGTTATATCTACATACACATTTAAAAGTACTTCTAAAAAATTTAAACCTAAATATATCATGACATTCTATTAAACTTTGATGCAATTTTCAATATACACTATTCAACAAAATTAAAGCACCACCTGTTCCACTCTGCAAAAATAGGCAAATTTCGAAATAATAATTAATAATAAATTTTTAAGATCTGATGCATCTTTATTTATATTTATGTAACTTCACAAAATATCATTAAGGTTTATTGATTTGAAAAGTAGAGATTTCAAGCTTTAAAATGTTTTTTTAAAAATCTCGATACGATGATTTTTGACAAAGTTATTCTATCTCCAAATTTGTTTATTTTTACAGGATGGAACAGGTAATGCTTTAATTTTGTTGAGTAGCGTATTTGTTAATAATTTGATATATTTTATTTGGTATTAACTTTTTGGTAATTACATATCTTATTTTTACAAATAGTAGGTGCTCATGAAAACGATGTAAAGATATTTAATTAATTGATATTTATAAAATATTGAATTTGATTGTTTCTAATCATTATAATAGTGAACTAATGTATTGTATAAAGTTAACTGCAATAAATTTTATTCTGAAGGATTTAATTTAAAACAAATTTTTACATTAATTATATAATCTTTAATAAATTGAACAAATCTATTACCCTCGGAATTACGTTGTAGAAAATGGTACATGCTACCGATAAATGGTAGTTTTATAGGTCCAGGTAACGATTTCACGGTTCGAGAGGAAAACAAATAACAATCTTGAACAAAATAACTTATCACGACACATATTAAACTTAGTACAATAATAATAAACAACATTGTTCCAAGTAACGGTGAAATAGTAATACTATTTAATAAGTATATTCTCGTACTGCAAATGCTGCTTACTTTGTGACGATTTTATTATGTTTTCCCTCCCATTCAAAGCTATAATCAGATTTTCACTCGAGTGCCATCCAGGTCATTCCATTCTTGTTATTTATCGAACGTTAAACAAGTATGAGAGAACACCTGGGTTTGTATCTGATAACATCTCAAGTAAGACAATAATCAATGCATCTTCATGAATAAAAAATTAAGACAATTATAAATTATAATTTTAAATAAATTACTATGTATATTATCTTTAGCAGAAAAAATAGTTTTGTTTTACATTTCTTATATCAAATTTTTATGAAATTACGTGCAAAGTTATTTGCATTAAAATGAAAATTTTAATTAAATAGGATAGAAAAATTAATCTGCAAGTATAAAAAGTTGTTATGTTAGCACATCGAGGTGATATATTCCATTTATATCAGTTGAACAGATAATTAAACGTTGATTGGTATAATAAAAGAAATAGGTGCTTAGCATAAGTTTTTCTTCAATTGCAATCATATTGCTGTCACCAGAGCAATAATAATTTGATTAACAATATAATTTAAATGCCAATAAGAGAGAGAGAGAGAGAGAGAGAGAGAGAGAGAGAGAGAGAGAGAGAGAGAACCGACACAAGACTTTAGTGTATTTTTATAAATTTTATTCAATAAAAGTCACTAGACTATATCGCAATATCGCAATACATTTTGATCCTCAATTTGAATCATCTTCAGTGCATCTAATAATTATGGACAATAATAATTAATAAAATCTGTATATATTTCAAAAGGCATGTTTCTCATTCCTAAGTAAAAATGTTCTTACAACATTCGGTCGATTTTAACTCACGACGTGTAAACAATAGTTATTGACTTCCTACGCCATATAGTTCTCATTAAATTGCAAGATTTTCTGTATATTATATTGTATAAATAATCTTATGTAAGATTTATTAATTTTCAATTATTAATAATTAATTATAAATTACATAATTATTAATTTACATAAGTATGCTACGTTGGAGTCGCTTTTAAAGATGTTATCGCTTCGATAGTTATGATATATGAGCATCAATGACATGTAAATTATAATGTCAACAATAAGATCTATTGAAAAGAGGGAAATGTCACACTATAGATATTGTACTAGAATAATTGGATCTAGAAGATTTATGCTATTTTTTTAAATTCAAACTGGTTAGCTCCGGTCATTGTTGCAGGTAAAATATTAATGCAACAAATTTGGACACTATCAATTGCTTGGGATAGTAAGTTGCCTGATCCAATCTTCCATGATTGTCTCTCATTCTGTGAGGATTTGCAAAATTTAGCGCAAGCTCATTTGCCCCGCTGGCTCCAGATCTGCACCGTTACATGTCACGTCGAGCTTCACGGTTTTGCCGATGCCTCAAAGAAGGCCTATGCTGGAGTGATCTACTTGCGAGTGGTTCGAGAGGGAACTAGTGAAACATTTCTTCTCACCAGCAAAACCAAGGTGGCTCCACTTAAAATTTTGTCCATTCCGCGGCTCGAACTAAACGCGGCTGAATTATTATCACGACTTTTAAGGTGGGTTGCTTCCGCTCTACGCTTGAATTGTGATATTCCGATGTATGCGTGGTCAGACTCCACCGTAGCCCTTGCGTGGATCCGAAGCCCTCCATCAAATTGGAAAACTTTTGTGGCAAATAGAGTATCGGCCATTCAATGTCGATGTCCTACAGTTCAGTGGCGCCATGTTCCGTCCGAAGATAATCCAGCGGATCTAGCTTCTCGTGGGCTACGCGCTTCCGATTTGATAAATAATACTCTTTGGTGGCATGGCCCTCCCTGGCTCGTCTCGGGAGACTGGCCATCTCTGGAACCATCCGGAAATGAGGAAATTATTGAATTGGAAAATTGCAAAAAGAGCGTACACGTAACTTGTAGTCAGGATTGGGAGTTAGCTTCTCGGTTTTCTGATTGGGGTAAACTAATTCGAGTTACAAGCTTAGTTTTACGATTTATTTCTCGCCTTCGCCGACAAGACGGTAAGGAGATCAGCTCCCTTAATTGGCAAACCCATGCCAAGAACCTTTGGATCAAATATATGCAAGCTCAGACCTTTGAAAAGGAACTGGAGCTTCTAAAAGGGGGTGAAAAGCTTCCCCGCTCTAGTGTTTTGGCAACTATGAATCCCTATTTGGATAAGGAAGGGATTATTCGCATGCGAGGACGACTGCAGCATTCTCCACTGAATTTTAAACAAAAATTTCCGATCATCCTGGCTAATTGTCCATTAGTGGTTCTCCTGGTTCGGCACGCTCACCTTCGCTCCTTGCACGGTAACAATGCATTAACCGCGCGCCTTTTACGTGAAGAGTCGTGGATTATTAGGTCCAAGTTAATTATACGTTCGGTCATTAATAATTGTGTGATTTGCACGAGATATAGGGCGAACTTAGGTCAACAACAGATGGCACCCCTTCCCTCCATACGGTTTCGTTGTGAGCGTCCATTTTGCAGTGTGGGTATCGATTACGCTGGGCCTCTATTGGCCAGGGCACTGCCTGGTAGAGGACATCACTCGAGGAAAATGTATATCGCAGTCTTCGTTTGTATGACTACACGTGCAATACATATAGAGTTGGTACATGACCTTACGACTAACGCATTTCTTGATGCTTTTCGTCGCTTCATCTCACGGCGTGGGGTTCCTGCCCAGCTTTTAAGCGATAATGGCACCAATTTCCAAGGGGGTCAAGCCGAATTAGCTAAAAAATTTCGTTCAGCTCTACGAAATCCGGCTGTGGAAGCTAAGATGTTGGAGTACGAAATAGAATGGCGCTTTATTCCGCCCTCTTCACCCCATTTTGGAGGAATGTGGGAGGCCGGAGTAAAATCCATAAAGTACCATCTTCGTCGCATCGTAGGAACTCACACACTAACGATTTCGGAATTAGAAACATTATTATGTCAAATCGAGGCATGCGTTAACTCGCGTCCTATCGCCGGTTTCTCAAACGACTGTGATGATTTGAGTTATTTGACCCCGGGTCATTTTTTAGTCGGTGCTCCACTTCTGTCATTGCCTGAACCTTATATTCCTTCGGCCATTTCCACTAGTCTGAAGCGTTATCATCTCGTCCAACGCATGCGAGATCGCTTCTGGAAGGTGTGGCAATTAGATTATATAAACACTCTACAAAAGCGTTCTAAATGGCGATTAGCCCATCCGAATTTTAGGGTCGGAGACCTCGTCCTTATTAAGAATGACAACTTACCGCCGTCGCGTTGGGCATTAGGTAGAATTACCAAATGCATTCCTGGTAAGGACGGATTAGTCCGCGTCTGCGAAATAAAGAGCGCATCCTCGTCGTTTTTGCGGTCCATCCATAAATTGTGCCCTCTTCCAGTTAATGCGATGGACGATAGTCCCACGGCGGGCGGGACTATCCCGATAACTAACATTAAGCGTTAACTCATGTTAATTTTCAATGTACGCGCCCTTTGCATGGCGGGCGGCAAAGGCCTTATTATTATGTTATTAGCTACGCTTATGTAATAATTAATATAAACTGTTTGTACAAGTAGATGTATAAGGATATTTCGCTTTAAATGAAAGCGAGGCGAGCGGAATGTTTGGATTTCGAAACATATTAGCCTTGGTAGGCCACGCAGAGAGTAAGTGTTTTCGAGATACCGTTGTCGCCGAATATGTAGGTATTCAATAATAGCATTCCTTCGTGTGTATATTTTCGTTTCGCCATTGGAAGGACGCGTGATTGCCCACATAACGCCTCGTGATCGGGCTCGGCACCGTGCTTCGTTTGGGTCAGACGAAAAGGATGTTGAAAAAGAGAATAAATTAACATAGAAATCACATAAAAAGAAATATTAATTAACATCCTGTCATAATAAAACACAGACAAGAATTTTCACATGACTTTAAGAGAGATGAAGTAAAAATACAAGACGAAGAAAGAAATTCACGACTTATAGATGATTTTTATTAAAAAACAAAAAATGGTTTGTGTTTGGATTTCGAAACATATTAGCCTTGGTAGGCCACGCAGAGAGTAAGTGTTTTCGAGATACCGTTGTCGCCGAATATGTAGGTATTCAATAATAGCATTCCTTCGTGTGTATATTTTCGTTTCGCCATTGGAAGGACGCGTGATTGCCCACATAACGCCTCGTGATCGGGCTCGGCACCGTGCTTCGTTTGGGTCAGACGAAAAGGATGTTGAAAAAGAGAATAAATTAACATAGAAATCACATAAAAAGAAATATTAATTAACATCCTGTCATAATAAAACACAGACAAGAATTTTCACATGACTTTAAGAGAGATGAAGTAAAAATACAAGACGAAGAAAGAAATTCACGACTTATAGATGATTTTTATTAAAAAACAAAAAATGGTTTGTGTTTGGATTTCGAAACATATTAGCCTTGGTAGGCCACGCAGAGAGTAAGTGTTTTCGAGATACCGTTGTCGCCGAATATGTAGGTATTCAATAATAGCATTCCTTCGTGTGTATATTTTCGTTTCGCCATTGGAAGGACGCGTGATTGCCCACATAACGCCTCGTGATCGGGCTCGGCACCGTGCTTCGTTTAGGTCAGACGAAAAGGATGTTGAAAAAGAGAATAAATTAACATAGAAATCACATAAAAAGAAATATTAATTATGTACATATGTAGCATTATAATCTTTATTCTGTATACCACATTAGTGCGTGACCAAATTGAAAGTTAATTCTTACTCTAATAATTTTGCCTAATTTGTTAATGCTTATGATATTAATGCTCCTAAAAAAATTCGTTCTTTTCTCTGATATTCCTGGAATAAATGATATAGTAAAAAAGAATCTATTGTTCTTTTTTGTATTAGTTTTCTTACCCTTGCTTTTATTGGCATTATTATATAGTTAATGATTTGATTCATCTTATTTATTAATTACTTTTTGTTAATTATTTATTATTAACCGCGCTGTCTGAAAATGTTTTATACAAGATATTTTTCATTTTTTCAATTTATTAGTTCTATAGTTTATTTAGATGGTATGTGACTAACATGTTAGAATTGTTTGAACAAGGATTTATTAAAAATTTCTTTAAAAATTATATTCTTAAGACATTGTAAGACTTGACATATAGCCACAACATTTGACTGACAACAAACTATTCAAATTAAACTTTCATAGTCGTAGGTATAAACAATAAGTTAGAAATAAGAGATGCGTTTAGCTACCAGCGGTCAACTACCTAGATAGTCAGACGTGCCGAAAGCATGCATATTTATGTTACATATTTGCTGGATATTTATGCTACATATTATATAATATATTGGAAAAAATCGGGCAGCAGTTGAACACAATCTGTTATTTCAATTAGCGTTAACAAAAATACAACAAAAATTCTTTAGATACTGCGTCATTCATAACATATTTAAACAAATGCTACAAAAATTGAACAAAATAATTCAGCATCAAAAAAGTCATAATTCCTATGCAATCATCATAACTGTGATATGTTAAAATATTTCCTGTTGTAATATTTCCTAATCGGATGTCGTCGGAATGGTAGAATCAAACTTTCTCAAATTAATCTTAGTTTCTTTTAAGAGTATTAATTCTGTGTAATATCTTACATGTGCCACTACCGGACATCGAATATGAATGGACGATAATATATTGAGTTACCCTTCTTCCTTATAAATATTTAATACAATAACAGACAATCAATTAGGATTAATTGTATAATTAATTATACAAGTGAAGAAGTATCTAAATTAGGTTAATTATATCACTTTATTTGATAAAAATCTTATTACAGACACCGAAACCGAAAAAGAGGAATACAATAATAAACTTAAAAATGATTAGAGAATCTAAAACTAAAACCATAAGTGAGAAACATAAAAGAATGTGCCTTATATTTAACTGTTAATTAATGACAAACAAAAATACATATTAACATATGCAATATATTGCATTTTATATCTATTATATTATTATATTATATTAATGCATGAATTCTGTAACAATATTCTGTCTTTAATAATAAAGATAGAACATTGTTTCAGAATATATAACATTGATACGGATCAATATGTTGCATATATTATTC